AAGGTGAACAATATTTTCTGACAGGTTTAATTGATGTGAGAGCAGCAAGAAAAGTCAAAGGCAATTCCAAGTTTTTGGCTGAGAAACTGTATGTATGGAGTGTTCATTTATTAAGATGAAGAAGCACATTGGGAAGAGGTACCCATTTTTTGATATGTTAAGTTAGAAAATCCTATAATATATCAAAGTCAATATGCCAAGAATCCAGTCAGATATGTGATCCTGTATAACAAGCACTGATATGGAGCTAAAAGATTTTGGGCATTATCAGTATGTGGCTGTTATCTCAAGTCATAAATATATAAGAAATTAAAGTCTTTCTCTGGGTACTATCCAATTTAGTTCATTCTAGGAGGAGAAGAAGAAGATGAAGAAGAAGAAGAGAAAGAGGAGGAGGAGAAGGAGAAGAAGAAGAAGAAGAAGAAGAAGAAGAAGAAGAAGAAGAAGAAGGAGGAGGAGGAGGAGGAGGAGGAGGAGGAGGCGGCGGCGGCGGAGGAGGAAGAGGAGGAGGAGGTGGCGGCAGAGGAGGAGGAAGAGGAGGAGGAGGAGAAGAAGAAGAAGAAAGGAGAAGGAGGAAGAGGAGGAGTTGCTTACCAAGAACTGAACAACTCTGGGACACAACATTTTAAATTAATTTAAAGAGAAATCAGTTAATCTGAGGGAGGATTGGATTGTGAGTGAAGCAAAAGGAAAACCAAGAGAATGATGCCCTAGAGAACAAAGTATTTCGGAGAAGAAAGTTTGTAATGAAAATGGAATAATCAGTTATTTAAAATTCTGCTTACACAATGTGTAAGATGAATCCCGAACACTAGCCATTGGATATGTTTATATTGAGGTAATGGTGACTTTAGCAGGAGTGTTGTTTTTTTTTTTCATAGAAATAGTGAAGGAAAAAGCCTAATTAGAATAGGTTCAGGAAGAGCATAGAGAGATTTTTGAACCTATTTGTTGTTAAGAAAATTAGAGAAATGGGATGATCATGTGTATGGTGGTATGGTGAACAAAAGATGGCTTTCGCTTGTTTTGACATCAGAGATATTATATCATCTTGGGAAGTGAATGTAAGTGAATAAGTAGAGATTTAAAAAGTGGAAAAATTGATAGTGCCAGAAGGAACAAAAGAAGGAAAACTTTAAGCTTGAAATCTTTAAGGAGATAGGTGGATAGATTTTAATATACAGATGGAGATTGATTTCAGATGAGGTAGTACAATTGAAAGAGATACTTACTGTTGAAGGGGATACTACACTGTTGAAAGGGATACTTACTACCTTACATACAGATGTAGATGTTTTGGGATATTTGATTAGTGAAACCGAGAAAACTCCTTTCTGAAATTTTTTTTCTTAGGATAATGTTAATGGAAAAGCCAGGTCATCTGTTGAGTTTGTAGAAAGAGAAGACAGAAAGAAATTTGAGAGTCTGAGAAAGAAAAAGAGACAGGGAATAAATAATCTTTTAGGAGATTTGCAGAACAGATTGATTAGTAAGAGCGCTGGAAGTTATATTTCAAAAACATAAGATAAAACCAGTTAATATGGTCACATTCAGCCACTTGAATGTATGCACAGAGCAGGTAGCATTGGATTTAACCAAGCTGCATTTTCTAGATGCTTTTGATGAATAAAGAGGGAAGCAAGGAAGTTGTAGCTGTGTGTAAGAAAGTAACTTTTATAATTGGTCCTGGTAAGTGGTACGTGCTAGGTATAATAGGCAATGAGACATGAGGGATTGACAGCAATGAAATGGTGACATGGTCAGTGAAGTTACTATCTCAGTGGGCACTGAAATACCATAGAGTGTCAAATCCTCAGAGAGAGTGGGCTGGAGAGATAGGAGGTGGAGGTCAGAGAGTGAAATATCTGAAACAGATAGTGGAGGAGGTTCTCATATTGGAAATGAAATCATCTGCACTCTAGCGCAGTGCTGTTCCATGGCAAAGTGGGTAATAATGGAAATGCTATGTCCAATTGCATAGCCAATGCCACCTGAGACTGTTAAGTACCTGAACTATGACTAGTGTGACTTAGGAAATAAACTTTAAATTTTATTTAATTGTAATTAAGTTTAAATAGCTATTATATGCCTAGTGATTCCTATGGGGAATAGCATAGCTCTAAGTTGGGATCATCTAGTGGCCGACTGAATTTTGAGTGCAAGCAACTCATTTCTGGGTGTGGGCAAGGTTATTGGAGGCAAATTCAAGAACTGAGAGTCCAGGGTATTGGAATTATCACCTACCTGAATGTCAACATCACTGGTAATAATCATGAAAGGAGTAGAGGTCAATAAGGTTTAAGATAGTTGAAAAAAGAATTTAAAAAATAAGGAGGAATGTCCCAGAATTTGGTAAATGACTGCAGCAAAGTGGGGTTTTTAATAGTGTAACTGATAAAATAAGCTACAGAGATGCAGTAAGTTTTCAGAGAGAAAAGTATATACAGAAATGTCTAAATTAATATGGTCATACACAAATAATGATAGACGACATAGCTTTTTGGATTGCAGAAGTGTTATTAACCTTCTCTTAGAAATAGGAACCACGTGACATTCTTCATCATTGTTCAAGCTAAGCATCATTGTATGGATAGTGAGAGGTTAAGATTTTGTTAGGAAACTTCAAGAATTAAGGAAATGAGAATAAAAACCCAGTCTTTGCAAAATCTGGTGAAAGTTAGAGCAGAGCAGAGATAGAAAACCGTTCTTAATTTCTTATTTTTGTGATCACCTATTTAAATAGTCCTCATGTCAATGGTCTCTGCGTTTCCTTAACTTACCTAGAATAGTAAACATAAGCATAGATTTATTATTTGTTTCCATATTTTTGTTAGTGGAGTTTTGTTGATATATGACTTAGAGCCTGTAAACATTTTCTATTATTTCATCAATTTGAAAAAAAAAAAAACATGAACAAGCAACATACGTACATTTAGGTGTTTAGAGATGTGCACAATGTCCCTAAAGAGAAAGTTATTACATTGCCTCTCCTCACATCCGTGGGGAGAGTGCGCCTCACGCTGGACACCTCTGACTAAGATAATCTCCACACAGACATGAAAACCTTGGAGGTTTTAGATCACTCCCCAGTCATCTGAAACCGCAAAACCCATACCAAATCCTCCCGCTAAGTACCCTTATCTAATATTCTACCTCTCCCCAGAGGAAATCTTTAGAGGAGATTCCTTAATTTCTTCACTCATGTAGAGCTCCCCCATCCTTATTTTCCTGGGTTCCGTATTGACTGCATATTACTGCTGTGACAAATTACCACAACTGTATTATCTTAAGGCTCTGCAGGGTGAAAGTCTGACATGAGTCTCATTGGGCTAAAATCAAGGCTCTTGGCAAGGATGTCTTCCTTTCTAAAGGCTCTGTGGGAAACAGTGTTTTGCTATTACCTTTCCATCATCTAGCCCAAATTCATTGGTTCCGGCCCCTTCCTCCCTCTTCAGCTGGCAAATCACCATGTCCCTGTGTCTTTGTTCTGGTCACGTCACTCTCTGACCACATCTAAGAAATATTCTCCAATGTTAAGGACTCAAGTAATTAAATTGCGTCTACCCAGATAATCCAGGGTATTTTTCTCACCTCAGTGTCTGTAACCTTAAAAACTTACAGCATCTCTGTAGCTTATTTGATCCATTACACTGTTAAAGAACTAATGGCATCTGAAATGTCCCTTTTGCCACAGTGAGCTGCCATATTCAGAGGTTCCGAGGATTAGCACAAGGGCATCATTGGGGGCTATTATTCCACCTTCTGGCAGGATTAGAAGTAGATTCAGTCCTTTAAGGTGTGTGTAAATCCTATGGCTATGAATCCTATGACAAACCACATGTGCAGCATGTTTTTCTCCTGTTCTTCCAGATAACAGAACACTGTTTATACAAATTGTCAACTCTTTATTGCTCATGTTATGTTGTTGAAATTTAAAGCATCACAGTGATAGTGCTTTGTGCAGTGAGTTTACTTCAATTTTATCGGATGCATTTTTTCAGAGCATTTTTAGACCTATGCGAGAGAAAATAGAAGTTGGTTATTTTATTGAGTTTAAAAAAATAAAATGTAAATAAATAAGGTTTAAAGAGACTGCTAATCCTACAGACACTCTAGAGATGCTCATTATCCAGTAGTCTGTATGGATATCCAATAATTGCAGCACTGTTTGTGGCTGTGGTTGCTCCACACAGCATCATCTGATTTTGTAGTCTAGAAATACAGCATGCTTTCTGTAAGAGTTCTGCTACCCTGCAGGAATGACTGAAAGACAAACAAACTAAAACCAAAAACACCTTACCACGTGCCAGTCTCATTCTTGCTAGAATCGGCCTGCTTTTTTCACTTTCATTTGCCTGAAACTTCAGGTAGTTATTTTTTAAAATCTTGTCCTGTGTATTCCTTGCTATCTACAGGAAGATTAAGCTAGGATTGTTGTTCTGTTGGGAACCTTTCCCATGAATGGGAAAGGGCATTCCCATTCATACTCTCCTTAAGTAGCTAAGTAGCTATCAATTTCTCTTCCATGCCCCATTACCAACTCTCTCTCTCTTGTGCTCTCTCTCTCTCTCTCTCTCTCTCTCTCACACACACACACACACACACACACATTTGAATTTCCTATAATAGCAGCCAGGTGTGTGACACAGCTCTTTCTGTCTTAATATGTGTCTCTCTGCTTGATATCTGATGTGGCTGAGTATAAACCAGAACCAATGTCTCCATGCAGATTAGTTAGGCTTAGATAGATGTAAAGAAGACAACTTGACTCTTTTCTGAAATATTCAGAGCAACCTCTACCCTGAGGATCATGGAAATTCCCTCACGATCCTCCTGCTCTGCTTCTAAGCACCCCTTTTTTTGCTGCACAGCAAGAAATAATTCTGACAGAGCAGACAGTTTGAGATCTGTAACATTCTAATGAGAATATTTTAAAGCAGAATATTTGACTTTTCTCACTTTCTCTCCAGAGAAACAATTTGTCATTCTCCTCTTAGAGAGGGGCAGTGTAGTGTGTCTGGGTCAGTTGAGTGTCTGTATAGAAACTCCCAGCCTTGAAAAGGACACCCTGTTCCCAGGCCTGAAGATATTGAAACATTAATTAGATACTTTAAAGTAGTGCTTCCTTTTACAATGTCTGAAGAAGTGACCTACGCGACACTCACATTTCAGGATTCTGCTGGAGCAAGAAATAACCGAGATGGAAATAACCTAAGAAAAAGAGGTAGGAGTTCAGAGAACACCAACTGTGTTTTGTGGGGAGTGGAAGGCGTGAAATGCTTTGAGGTGCCGGCTTTAAAACTGGTGTCAAAGACAAGTGTGCTGTGAAATCTTCAGAGTGGGGACAAATTGTGGAACGTATTAGAAGAGTACGTGTTCCCAAGGTTGGAGTGAAAATATGTGGGTTTCAGAACCTCTTTAAAATTGTGTGATATCACTCTGTTACAGGAAGCTCTGTCTTGCAGTGAAAGATTCTAACTGGATATGCCAGAAATTAAGCTTAATCCTTGATATTTATACCTTGTTAGAGATGCCAGGAGGATAGGATATTCTTTCAGAATCCAGATTGGAGGCTTCTAAAATAGCGAAGGTAGAGGACATTTTTCTTTTTTATTGCATGTTAGGTTTTGGGGTACATGTGAAGAACATGCAAGATTGTTGCACAGGTACACACAGGGCAGTGTGATTTGCTGCCTTTCTCCCCTTCACCTATATCTGGCATTTCTCCCCACGCTATCTCTCCCCAACTCCCCACCCCCCGCTGTCCCTCCCCTATTTCCCCCGGCCCCCACCACAGACCCCAGTGTGTGATGCTCCCTCTGTCCATGTGTTCGACATATTTTTTTAGATGATGTTAAGTTACTTAAAACTGGAAGATAATGGACCAGAGCTAGTTTCTCTTTTGTCATTATTTTTTCAAATTTTAGGGTAGTTGAAATCCAAGTATAATTTGTAGCATTGAACCAGTTATGATAGTATCTAGGTAGTATTTTATGTGCATTTTCTACAGATATAATTCTGTGATGAAAATTCACACTAATATTGGAATATTATTTCCTCCATTGCATAGATAAAAAAACTGAGACTGAGAGAAATTAGATAATATAAGTGAGTTTACACAGCTGCTATGTGGGGAAGCTCAGACTCAGCACTGGTCTTCAACTGATTCTCTTACGCCTAATTGGAAGAAATCGCAGTCTCCATGGTCAAGAATCTGATTTGATATATAAGACCACATCTCTTATTTTCAGATAAGTTGACTTTCCAGGTTCTCCTGAATCATGTCAGTCATCTGAACAACTTTCTCCTGCTCTCTAGATTTATGTTTACATTTTGTGTGGTGCATGACATTTGAGGGAAGGATATTTACAAAAAGGCGATGGGGATAGACTTCGACTTTGCATATGTCTAATAAAGATGGTTCCACATTTTTGCCTTGCATTGTTTGGTTTTTTAATTCTAATTCTAACCTGTGAGGAAGAAGGGAGATGTGGATATGGTGCATATCACAGTGCACCTGGAGACTGTAATACTATATCTAAAACATTGGGCTAGATGTTATTTGGACCTAAATCAAGGAATACTAAGTGAAGGAAAATATGACCACCGTTGATATTTTAAACAAAAACTACAGTGAGCAGGATGCTAACATTTGAAGAGTTTTACTCTGGCTTTCTGGTCTACTCTGCTGTTTGTAAGTTAGCCTGCACATTCTTCCCTTCTTTTTTTCAGTATTCATTCATTATTTACCAGGTGATAAATAGCATGAATAATAGATAAGTTATTGTTAACAGGCAAAAGATACTTTTAAAAGTAGAATCCACTTTTAAAAGGCAGCTAGAACATCTGCCTTATAGAGACTTTTGAGCTCAAAAGCTTGAGGTGTCTCCTACTGTCCAGGAAAAGCAGTTTTTGTATCTCTCATTTATGAATTCAATGAACTTGAGGAAGAAAAGTGAGTAATGATGCAAAACAAAAACCTTGAAGTTAGGATAAACTTCCTCCTAAAGGGGGAAGAGTGGTGGAAGCAATGATGGCACCCTCATTGCACTTCATGTTAGATATTTTCTAAAAGAGGTCATTGAGGAAGCGAGAGAGAAATGTCAGTATCTGTAAGCTCCCTAAGTGGGAGAAAGGAACAACCCGAAGTGAAACAAGCACAAACCGGTTCTGTTTGCTAATTGCTCTGCTGGCTTTCTCCAGGGCATCCAGCTCCATCGCCCATGTGGCGCCACACTGCCCTGGGTCTGCTAACTCTTTGCCTGGTGTTGCTGATTGGGCTGGTGACATTGGGGATTATGTGTAAGTATAACAGCATCGAACCTGAGAAAGGCGGCTAGAAAACATATTTTAAACCATGTCTATTCAGCTTGGATTGTGGATGGATCCTAGCATCCAAATCCTCTGATACTTTTCTGCTGTCTCATATCTTTCCTGTTCTTCATATCTTCCTGAAGACACGATCACGATTTGGTTCTGAATTGTTTTATCTTGATAACCGGACTTAGACAAAGCCTATTCATTCCTAGTTATTCATTAGAATAAAGAGCCTGTTTTCTGCCTAGCCACACATTCACTTATCATTCCAATGCTGAGAAATAAAGTCAAGAAATACGTATTGAAGAAAATGCACGCTATTTTATTTACCTAAAAGACTTAGTACTAGACTAGGCTCAGTCTCCTCACATGAGACTTCTCTAGTGGAGAGAAATCTTCCAAGCAGCAGGAGGCTGGTTTCCATGAATGAGAAAGACACACGAACAAGGAGGAAGAGTGGCCTGATACACCTTATGGAGTAAGAAAGTCGAACCCTCTCCACATGACAATGGAAGCTCCGCTCTCAAGCACCACAGCCACAAAGGAACATTCTACTTATTCTGACCCATCCTTGGGTAGTTGGGGATGAATATGGGAGTTCCTGAGTAATGAGAAAAACCATCTTGAGAATACAAACTTCATAGAGTTGTTAAGTATATGGTATACAGAGCAGTGAATTGGCATGGTATTCACTCATGGGGTAGTGAAAAAATTAACTTGTGGTCAAGGAAGTTAATTTGCTGAATGATGCTAACCTCTCTGCTACAGTCATTTCTTTTCAATGATTTAATGGATAATTAGGATTTGGACATATATTTGTCCATGTGAAAGGAGGCTAATGATGTAGCTTGCTCTTTTGAAAAGAAATATGATGTTCAAGCAGCAGTAACAGATATTCTGGAGCCAATCAGAGGATGAGGATTAGCAGCTGATCTTCTACAATAATGTATATTTAAAAATTAAGTGAAAATATGATAACGTATGTCCATTTATTCAATACAGAAGTGTGACATTTCTTTTCTAAACTTTAGTACTTTCGGTGCAGTGGTTCTTAAATTTGTCGTGCTGATGAAGCACCTTAAGTGCTTACAGAAAAGGCATACTTCATAGACCCATAACCAGAAATGGTCTGATGTGCCATTAAGATCTGCTTTTTATTTTCTTTTGGTAAACAAGCATCTCAGGTGGTCTGCAGAGTGTGAGACCATTGTTTCAAAGAATTCCGTTTTTATTACATCATTCGCCTACAAATAAAATAAAACAAAAATAAAATAATTGTATGAAAATGAATGGCAGAATGACTAGCACTTCCTTAGATGCAATGTCAGAAATAGATAATTATTAATTCATTAATTTTATGTAGTGCAATAATAATTAAGATGTAAATAAAATTATAAAGAACTATAAATAATTTGGAATAGAAAGGCATCTGGTTTGTTTCTTGCATGATACCTCAAATACTAAGAACTACTAATAAATCTTGAACAATTAAGAAATGTTTCTCTCAAGAGAATTATCTATAGTTATAATGAGAACAGAAGAATATATGAACTTGTCTTCTGTCGTGTCTTGGAGTTTTGCAGATATCTAATGAAATTAACTCAGGTTCAGAGATATTGAGTCAACTTCAGAAAACCGTCGACCAGCAGCAGGATAACTTATCCCAGCAACTGGGCAACTCCAATAACTTGTCCACAGAGGAGGAATTTCTCAAGTCACGGATCTCCAGTCTACTGAATAGGCTGGAACAAATGGCCGTCAAACTGTGCCAAGAGCTAATCACTCATACGTCAGGTAAACAGACTTAGACCTGCTAACCAGTCAGATGGCATATGATCATGTGCACCACTTCTGAGTATTGAGAGAGTTATGTCATGCAATGACCCTTAGTGATATTGCACTACGTTTACAGACAGTAAGGAAATACACAAATTGATTTAGTATTTTTGACACCACAGACAAATTTGAGAAGTATCTTGGAACGATACCAATCTGGATACTTCAACCCCTCATTTTATTAACTCTGTCTAGGTGATCCTGTTGTTACAAAAGCTTAAAAGCATAGCTGGTAATTCTGAGGTCAGAAGGCTAAGCCCTGAAAAGAGAGAATCCCTGTTGCCCCAACCCATAACCAGGGGTCACTTTATTTTCAGAGGCTTCTAAAGCAATACGTTTTCAGGGTGCTTGCTCTTAGACCTTATTGTTCAATTAGATGATCTAGTTTCAAAGCCACCTCCAGTCACTCCAGGGACATTCAGTTTATATTATTGGGTATAATTTTCTTTTCAGACCACAGATGTAATCCATGTCCTAAGATGTGGCAATGGTACCAAAATAGTTGCTATTATTTTACCACAAATGAAGAGAAAACCTGGACTAACAGTAGAAAGGACTGCATAGACAAGAACTCCACCCTAGTGAAGATAGACAGCTTGGAAGAAAAGGTAGGATGGAGTCTCATTCTCTTGACATTATCCATACAATGAGAGAGAAATAGAATATCTGATTCACATGATGGAAATTGAGTGCATCTTAAATTAGAATAATACATGAATTTAATGAATGTTCTCATCTATCTTAACTTTGCAAACTGGAATGTGGCTCTCACATAAAACTTTCCCTCTGTCTTCTCTCTTAGGATTTTCTTATGTCACAGCCATTACTCAGGTTTTCGTTCTTTTGGCTGGGATTATCCTGGGACTCCTCTGGCCGAAGTTGGTTCTGGGAAGATGGCTCTGTTCCCTCTCCATCCTTGTACGTCTCTAACTATGGAGGGTAAACACAAGCTTTCCATGGAATCCTGGGAAAATTAATAATGGTTGTGAGAATTATAAATACAGATATAAAAAGAGGAGTACAACATACTGAGAAAAGAGCTCCAGTAACAAATATTGAAAGGAGGTATAGTTCATTTCATCTCTGTGACAAATTTATGGCAACTTTATCCTTGGGTAGAAATGTGTTTACTTACACACACACCCCCCACCCCGGCTAATCCTACATTCAAAGTACTCTATAAAGATTAAACCTTGAGGAAATTACCATTATATTCCCATTTTATAGGTAGAAATATTATCACAGAGAGATTAAGTAACTTGCCTGAGATCACTCAGCTTATAAATTGCACTTTAGGGACTGTGCACTCAGTCACTCAGCTACTCTGACTGTCCAGCACCTACAATCCCAAAGGGTGCTGCTGATGATAAGAACACACATCGCTTGAAGCGGTGGCGCGTGCCTGTGGTCCCAGCTACTCGGGAGGCTGAGGTGAGAGGATCGCTTGAGCCCAGGAGTTCTGGGCTGCAGTGTGCTATGCCGATCTGGTGTCCACACTAAGTTAGGCATCAATATGGTGACCTCCCAGGAGTGGGGGACCACCCTGTTGCCTAAGGAGGGGTGAAGCCCAGGTCAGAAACGGAGCAGGTCAGAACTCCCGTGCTGATCCATAATGGGATCCCGCCTGTGAATAGCCAGTGCACCCCTGCCTGGGCAACATAGCGAGACCCTGTCTCTAAAAACAAAAAAACAAAAACAAAAAAGAACACACATCGACACATTTATTTATATGAAACAACTGTCAGTTATTTTCTAACAAAAAGTAAGACTGAATTGACTGATTAGTTCAACAATTAGTGTCATGTTGAGGACTTGCCAATTACAATATATGGCAAATATCTTTTATAAATTAAAATAAACTAAACCTGCCACTTCAGGGTTTAGATGAAAAATTTCAAAGCACATATAGAATATATAAAACTTGGAAAATTTCAATTTTTTTAACTATTTAAAGTTATGAAAAATAGATGTGTAAGGGCATATTAGATTTGCTAAATTTTTTCAGAGACTATAAAACCAAAAATTTTGAGAAACAGCCCTCATCATAACTACATTTAAATAAAACTGTATTAATATTTTAAATATAACAGTATTTTTATATTAGATAAAATTTAAGATCATTGGCCTCTTAATGGATTTTTAGATTTTTTATTGATACATAAGAGACACATATGTTCTGGGGTACATGTGATAATTTGATACATTCAGATATAGTATGTAAAGATCAAATAAGTGGAATTGAGATATCTATCACTAAATATTTATGTTTTCTTTATGCTAGGAGGATTCAAATTATTCTTTTCTCATTATTGTGAAATCTACAGTAGATTATTGTTAATTGTATTCACCCTAATAATCTATCAAACACTAGGTCTTACTCTTCTATCTAACAAAATATATGTATCCATTATGGCTTTTTATCTACCTTCCCTCCCCAACAAATAATTATCCATACCCCTCCCTCCTGTTTCACTCTTTAAAGCATGCTGTCAAGTTTTCTTAAACTGAATAATAATCGCAGGTCTTCTGTCAAAGACGCCATGCTTCAGCTGTGACTCAGCAGTTCCTTCCATCACAAACAATGATAAGTCTATTATTTTCTCCCTGGATGCACTTCATCTTCATCCATTTCCCAGTGGTTTGTCATGGCTATTTTTACTTAAACACGAATCTCCCATTCTCTAATCACCATTATCAATCATATTAAGTCAACTAGTCTGGTGTCACACAAATAATAATGACAAAAAGCACATGCAGAGTAATACCCAAACAAACAAACATGACGGTTACCTTTTTGTGACAAGAGCAATATTGGGCATGAACCAATTAATATTAATCTGAGGTGTTGCTACTAGACTGAGGGATTCCAGGAGTAGCAGGATGACATCGTGTAAACACGTTGTTTTCATGTTGGAGTCTAAGATGTGTCCCTTCTCCCAAAGGGATTTTAATCATCCTTGGCCCCTTTACTCACTCTTACTCAAAGTGTGGAGGAGGGGGCCCCAAGCAGGTTTCGGAGCCTGCAGCCCCCGGCCCCTGAGACCTGCAGTTTAGATAAGCCAGCCTGAGAAACTCAGGTTAGAGAGACTGAGCTTCCAGTTGTATAGCCATTTCCTTGACTACTGAGTAAATGCCAAGGCTATGATTTAGTAAGCCTAGCCCTGAAGCAGGAAAATAAAACGGTAGCGTAATGCGCGTCATTTAGGACAAAAACAGTGTTGGGCACACAGAAAATTTAGACCAGACAAGTGTAATTTTCTAAAGACATTCTTTCAGTGTTAACACCAATTTCTTAGCAGAGGAAGTGAGTACTATTGCTGGAACCATATCTATACAGTCATTCACTTCCTCTCTTAACGTCTGTCTTGTTCTCTTTTTACCTAACACATATGTATAACTATGTAAAAAGTTATATTCGCGCATAGTAAAATGTGGTAACTTTTTACAACATAATGTAACTTTATTTCTTTGTTTTCTTTGTAAAGTCTCAAAGAACTTCAAGTACTTCTAATATAAGCTGAACTGGGTAGATTTCATTTATGGAATTCCATATTTATGAAGGAAATACAAATTCTCAGCCCAGGATTTAAGTATTTCTCTTAAAGAATTCTACCTGGGATCGTGATTAACTTAAAATAAAGAGCTCAGATGTGCCAGCTCTAGGCAGATTTTGTGCCAGCTTTAGGCAGCTTCAGATTTTGAAGTTTTCTGGAGGCAGAAGTCTCCGAATATTCAGATACATGACATTGGCTTTAAGAGAAACTGAGAGAACTAAACAGTGATCATATTTCAAATATAGAATTTATAATTAATTTTAAATTGATTTTCAGATTTAGTACTAAAGAACTTGACCAGATCAATGGATCCAAAAGGTGTGCTTATTTTCAAAAAGGAAACATTCATATTTCTCGCTGTAGTGCTGAGATTTTTTGGATTTGCGAGAAGACCGCGGTCCCAGTGAAGACTGAAGATTTGATTAGTATGTTTCTTCCAAATTCCCCAAGAAGCAGGAGTTTTGTGAGTGATCCCATGTGAGGAAAGAGGAAACTACAATACCAGAGCCAAGAACAGCTTTCAAAATGACTGTGTGTTTACATCCTCAGACAAATGAACTTGCTTAACGGAACATTCTCCAGTCCCTTGTCTGATGCCTTCTGCTTTTATGTTATTATTCAGTCTTAAAATGATCCTTGGGGACCAAGGGGAACAGCCATACTATGGCCTTGTGATTGTCTCTCTTTTCACTGACTTTCTTTGCTTTCTCAAATAAAGATTTGTTTCTTACATTATTATTATATTTTCACATGTGCACTAGGGTGATATTTACATATTTGAAAACTGGAACTGCCACAGCACTAGAACAAGGTCCAAGAGATGCCTTTTGTGATAGCTGCCAGGTCACGTGGAGGTCCGGGGTATCCCACACTAAGGATCCCGGTAGCTGGGGCTGCAGCACTGTATCAACTGATTTAGAAATGGTTTATTTGAACAAATGTTTGTAACACTGTGAACCAGCTAAGTATCACCCTGCACTTGCAAAATAACTCTTCTTCCCCAACAATCCTATTAAAATAAATATTTTATTAATCTTTTAATTTTAGATAACTTGAAATCTAGGTGAAGAAGAATAAGCATTTAATATTTACCCTTTTTTAGAGACAGGGTCTCACTCTGTCACCTATGTTGGAGCATTGTGGTATGATTGGGTCACTGCAGCCTCGACCTCCTTGGCTCAATGGATCTTCCCACCCCAGCCTCCCAAATAGCTGGAACTACAGGCATGCAACACCATGCTTAGCTAATTTTTGTATTTTTTTGTAGAGACGGGGTTTCGCCATGTTGCCCAGGCTGGTCTTGAACACCTAGGCTCAAGCTATCTGCCAGCCTCAGCTTCCCCAAATGCTGGGATTACAGGTGTGAGCCACTGCCCCTGGCCAATATTTATATGTTTATCCTTTATTTAAATTAGTAATAGTGATGTTATTGATTTTGTAATCTGGGTATCATTATAAAAGTATACTCTCTTACAACTGATATTTTATTTCCCTCAGAAAAGTTCTAATAATTTTTTTGAAGGCATTTGAAAAATATAAGAACCATTATCTTTAATTATTTAGAGCTATCTTGAATCATAGTTTGTCAGTGTTCCTGAACACTGGATGCTAAATATTGTAAATCTAGGGTTCAAGATATTTTCTGGAACAAAATTGCTGATTTCAGAATACTGGTAAAGGATACAGTGTTCCCTTTCTCCTCATATTGTTGCATAGCCATATATAGGCAGAAAATAATGGCAAACTAGCCTTTGATAACGATTTTGCTAGATCAGAAATCTAGAATTTACTGGAAAATTGATGTGACCCAAATTCAGAGTTAGTTGCATTTCAATATTTTGACATTCCTTTGAAACTACAACTTTGTATATACCACCTAGTAGCTTGTTATCCTCTAAATATTTAAAATTATGAACTAATCCATGTTTTATATATGCATCAACAGCAACTCTAGCACAAAGGAAAAATGTCAAGAGTGAAAATTTAGTAAGAATTACAAGGCCTGGCGCGGTGGCTCAAGCCTGTAATCCCAGCACTTTGGGAGGCCGAGGCGGGTGGATCACGAGGTCAAGAGATCGAGACCATCCTGGTCAACATGGTGAAATCCCGTCTCTACTAAAAATACAAAAATTAGCTGGGCATGGTGGCGCACACCTGTAATCCCAGCTACTCGGGAGGTTGAGGCAGGAGAATTGCCTGAACCCAGGAGGCGGAGGTTGTGGTGAGCCGAGATTGTGCCATTGCACTCCAGCCTGGGTAACAAGAGCGAAACTCTGTCTCAAAAAAAAAAAAAGTATGTAGCATCCCCCTCAACCCCCACCCCACACCCTCTCTCCTGCTCCAGCTCCTGCTCCAGCCATGTGAAGTATCCGCTTCCCCTTTGTCTTCCATGGTGACTGTAAGTTTCCAGAGGCCTCCCCAGAAACCCAGCAGTTTCCAGCATCATGTTTCCTGTACAGCCTGAAGAACTGTGAGCCAATTAAACCTTCTTTCTTTATAAATTACCCAGTCTTGAGTATCCCTTTATAGCAATGTGAGAAAGGACTAATACAGTCATGTTTTATATTTATTTGGAATAACTTTTCTTCTCTCAGTGATAATCAACATGGTTTCCAAACCTGGTTTCACTTCAGATTTACATGGATAGTCCCTTAAAGGCACAGATATTTGGGCCACACGTCAAATCTATAGAATCAGAATGATGAGAGAACAGAAATGGAGAATCTAAGTTTCTCAAACTCCATTGGTGATTTTTATTAACTCAGTCGGAGTGGCAATGCTTGGATAAACAACCTCAATACTAACTCCCTGAGCAAATAGGCCCGAAGCCAAAGGTGCTGGAACCATCCTCAAGTTGGATGGCTCTTTCTGCAATGTTAGCAAAATTAGTTTGGTTTGTGCAGACCAAGTTAGGTCAGGACAGGTCAGAATTGGGACGGGTGTAGTGACAATTCTCCGCTATTTCACTGTTGTAATCTTAGCCAACGAACCCTTACTGAGGGTAGTAATTGGCATGGTCAGGATAGGCAGGTGATATGAAGTTTGATCTGTCTGGCTCTTTGAAAATAATTCTCAACTTAGCTACAGACTGAAATTATACTGGGGAGCTTTGAGGAAATACTGATTCCTAAGATTGTCCCATCTCTTACGATGCTGATTTAATTGAGAAATGTAGCTGGGTTATTACAAAAATTTTAAGTTTTCTATGTGGTTGCAATGTGAAGCTAAGGTTGAAAATCCTTGTACTGAGGTCATCCCAATGGCCTTTACTTCAGTAAAATAGCCAGCCCTCCATTATATATTAAGAAAACAGGTGAACTAGCTCCATTAGTGATGATTATACATGTTTGAGACAGGGACAGTAGTGATGATTACCTGAAGCTAGGGTTGATGGTATATTCAAGGTTGCATACAAGCATATATAATCATATTTGTATAAATTTGTATGCACATGGAGAAGGATTTAGACACATTAGTAACATTGTTTTCCTCAGGGTAGGTATGATGGAGTCAAATTGAGCAAGAGGGGGAGATGATACATTATCGAAATTGAGAATCCACTCTGAAACTGAGGACTGAAATCAAGAGTCAGATTATGAACAGGTGGCCAAAATTAACAATGTGATCCTAAAGCAATGTAATTTTTTTATTCCACAGGTATATTAGTTTTGCTGAACAAGTAACTGTAAGTAATATACCTGCCTGTCTTTCTTCCCTCCCTTCACCCTTCCTCCCTCCCTCCCTCCCTCCCTCCTTCCTTCCTTTCCTCCCTCCCTCCTTCCCTCCCTCCTTCCTTCCTTCCTTCCCTTCTTCCTTTCCTGCCTCCCTCCCTTTCTTCTCTCTTCATTCTTTCTTTTTTCTCTCTCTTTTTCAGGGTATATAATAATATAAATATAATAAAATGCATCATCTTTCAGTTCTTTCAAAATATTTCACAACTTTCAAGCATGCAGAAGTATCCCAGCCTCTTATTAGGAAGTGGTACAGCCTAGTGCTTAAGACAATCCATTTTTTAAATCAGACAGCCATGTTCATGTTTTTATACCCGATGTAAGAGCTGTATATTTTAGACAATGTCTCAGTCTGTTTTGTGCTGCTATAAAAGAATGCCTTAGACTGAATATTCTTTCAATTTCTTGGCCCACAGTTCTAAAAGCTGGAAAGTGTAAGTTCAGAACACCAGCAGGTTTGGTGTCTGATGAGGCCGTTTTCTTCTTTAAGATGGCAACGTGCACACCGCAACATTGGGAAGGCAGGAGGGTGGGATCCTCATGTGGCAGAGGGCAGAATGACCAAGAGGCAAAAGGAGATGGAACTCATCCTTTTATAACAGCATTAATTCCACCCATGAGGGTTTAATCATCTCTTCATTTGTTTGTTTTTATTTTTAGAGACAGACTCTTGCTCTGTCACCCAGGCTGGAGAGCCGTGGTGCAATCATGGTTTACTGCAGCCTCGAACTCCTGGGCTCAAGAAATCCTCCTGCCTCAGTCTTCTGAGTAATTGGTAGGTACCACAGGTGGGCACCACCATGTTCAACTATTTTTTAAAAATAATTTTTCTGTAGAGATGGGATCTTGCTATGTTGACCTGGCTGATCTTGAACTCCTGGCCTCAAGCAATCCTCTTGCCTTGGCCTTCAAAGTGTTGAGATTACAGGTGTGAGCCACCTCACCCAGTCAATCACTTCTTTAAAGTTTCACCTTTTAATACTCTGATAATGATAATTAAATTACAACTTGAATTTTGGAGGGTACAGGCATTCAAACCATAGCAGACAGGACTCTTAAATTATCTAAGCCCATCTCATAAATAGTAGAGGGTGATAAAACTAGCACCCATTCTGTGAGATTTTTGTGAAGAAAACAAAAAGAGATAACACACGTGGTACAGTGAACACCCCAATAAGTTTAGCAGTTCTTCCTTTTGCCATCCTCTGCTTCCCCTTAGATATCAGATCCGCATGATCCTTCTAGTCCCAAGAACATTCCTGCACTGGGTGCTCAGCTTGGTTTTCACCACCAATGGTATTTTCCTCAGGAAAATTATCTCAGGGAACTAAAAGGCAACATTTTAAAAATACAAATATAATCATGCAGGTTGGTTCAGATTGCTAGCATCAGCTCATCAGGGAAGAGAAATCAGGGAGGGAAACAGGAAGGCAAATAATAGATGGCAGATAGCTCTAGGTAATTACCTGAGACAGGCACTATGTTACCCATGGATTATTTTTGTATTGTCTGTGCCCTCTGTGATGTGGAGGCCAGAAACGAGGTGGACAAGGACAGGGTCCAGACCCTTTCATCTTTTTGATGCTTTATTGCAGCATTGGAAATTGTAGGGAAGTAGTAATTTTTATTGTTATAGTTACCAAGGCCATTATTTTCAGTTCTCTGACTTTCTTTGTTTCTGGACAGAATTTGTTTCTGAGAAAAGCTACTCTTATGGGTGGATTGATGTTGGCTTTCCCAATCTGGTCCAGCCCATATGAGCTGTGAGTTGTATTTTGAGTAGAGTAATTTCTAGGAGACTACATTCTCTCTTGTTCTTCAAGTACTGACCTTCAATTTCCCGTGCGAGAAGACAGCATTGATTGTTTTTGTCTTGAGTTTGAAATTCCTTTGTGTCTAAATCAGACAAGTTGGGAAGAAATACCTCTCAAAAGTTATGGAGCCAAAAATGCATGAAGGAGAGTAGGAAATAAGTCTCAGGAAGGTGAATTGGATTGAAAACCAGAT